TCCAAACCAACTGTCCACAACGGTCCAAAAAACTTCGATCTAGCTTCATAGAACAGGCTTTTTTCTCCATTGTCAACCTCATGTACTTGTGCCAACAATGGAGAACTAGTAGCCATGGCTGTGCACTTCACACAGTCCTTTTACGAAGTAGAACCCTAGCTATATGGCATAGAGCTTTCTGAACTTACACCAACTTTTATGTGGTGTCTAATGGAAACCATAGATATTATGAACTTACCCAAGTCAAGGTATGATTGGGTGGTTGCCAAGATCTTTGCTGATAATTAATTGGATGCAGCATTTTTTTTTTCCAGATGTCTGAATCATGTATTTCGACTAATTTCTTCTTCGGTCTACTCAAAAATAGGTCATTCATGCGAAATTAAGATATTTACGAGAAATAAATTTTTCATAATTTAATCTAAAAAAATTCAAAATTTAAATTTAAATATCTAAAAAAATATCTGAAATTATAACCCGTGACTGGTAAAATTTGTTGGGTTATGCGATGTAACATTTAATTGGTTGTACAATTATTTTGCAGTAAGCATTAATGGCTGAGTGTGCATGCAATGTGGGGACCTGTTGCCATTCCAGTCCACTGACTCCACTCCACATGCCTAACAATAACCTGTCGAACACCACATGCAGGTTTTGCAATAGTTGTTATTATTGTGTTTAAATCATATCACTCGTGTCGGTAATTGTTTGATTTATTTGTAATTATATATAATTAAATTTGTGCATGTTATATTAAATTTATATTATATATAAATCATATTTAGTAGGTACACGTGTTGTCATTAACAGAAATTAATGGCTACCCATTAACTTTGACGGATCTAACAAATCCAAATGTTTACTGTCCGAAACCGTTAATTCAAAATCTAAATCAGCTAATTTCCCAACATGTAACGATGAGAGTTAGGACTGATAATTAAGTCGGACTTTTGCGAGTTCAAGTCGAACTTGTTTTTATAAACGAATTCATAAAATTGTTTAAGTTTGACTTGTTTAAAATATGAGTTGTGTCTCTGAGTCAAATCTAAAATGAGTTGACACCAAATAGTTTGATTATTTTATATATAAACGAGCCGAATTTTATAAGTTCGAAGCGTGCGTTTTAGGCTCGTTCTAAAAAATTGTTTAACCTTAACTTATTTAAAACACAAGCAAAACAGTCAAGTCGAGTCTTGTCTAACCCGAACTTGAGTAACTCAGTACAATTATCAGCTTTAATGCGAATTCGAAGAAACAAAAGGTGAGTCGATTACATCTGAAATTACGTACGTTCAACGATTCATGACTAAAATATAAATATTAAATTCACACGATTACGCAAATAATTTTATCTTAATTTGTATACGATTACGAATGTGTGAATTGATACCTCACATTACAATCGACCACTGAACCAACCCGTACAAATTGGGACAAGACAGTAATACGTAGTGTCTATCCTCATTTACTATTGATAGCTTGATCAAATTGTCTTATAGCTAAAACTCAGAAGAAAATGCTCAAAAGATATTTGTCATGGCATCTATCTAATGTCACAAAGTTTGTTTAGTTCTGCATCGTCACTTTACATTTATGTACGATGGCTTCTCTCTTTTATTTTTTAGCCAGAGAGTTGTTCGTTTGTTACTTCAACTTGGCATCCCAACATGAAAAGATACATCACAAACAAATTTTCACCAAAATCCATGTGCGTGTGTTTATGGTGTTACGACTCATTAGTACAACATGAACACGAGATCAAAAATTAAAAGATTTATAACTTTATATCTTCTTTAAGCCCACCTGTTTATTAAATGAATAGACTTGACCGATACGACTAATAAAACGAATTAGGCATGAGTGAATGTAATTAGAAGAAATATATAACATGACATATTTTATATACAGTTATATACGGTTCAAATATGATACAAATTCGATATAATACGATTCATTAAAAATGAATTAATAAACAAATCGGATATAGGTAAAATATTTTTTTTATACAAATTTACTAAGACTGACGCGAACTCACCTCATCCTCATCCGACACGATTGACCGGCCTATCTATACCATCCCCTCTGTGTGTGAGAGAGAGATACCTCACAAACAAATTTTCACCGAACTCCATGTGTGTACTCTCTCCCTCAATGTGTGTGTGTGTGTGAGAGAGAGAGAGAGAGGTTGGCTCACCTTGAATCAATCCCTTTGCTCCAGAGAGGTCAATGTTGACAAGATGTTCAGGATCAACACCAGATTTCACCTTATCTGGCAAGTTCTGGAAGAAGTAATCTCTCATGTGACTCACTGAGTTTAACCCATGATCAGTGAACCCTTTTAGCTTCTCCATTTTCAGCCCTCCCATCAATGGCATTCTCACATCCTCTTCTCTCTCCATGCTCCTCATGTTAAAGTGGAAGCTTTTGCACCTAAGAGATTCGACCACCTCTATATATAGGCCACCCTGATACAGCTATATTTATTTCCATTATCTATGCTCTGCAATCCCTCGTAAACTTTAGGGTTAATTACACAATATATCTTTAAAGTATGAAGTTTATCTCAATTTAGTTCATAATATTTTAATTGTATCATTTTAGTCCTTAAAATATTGAATATATTTCTATGTGGTCCCTCAAATAAATATTATTCTGATTGCTAACAATTTTTTATTATATATTTGTCACGTAATATTTAAATATGAGCAAAAAAATAATTTTGATAGCTCTTAACCAAATTTTTACCAAAATTTTTGTCAAATAGCTACCAAAATTATACAATTTTGATCATGACTTGTCCAAATTGTGGTCAATAGCTACCCATATTACGCATTTTTTGTCAAGAATTATCTAAATTTTGGTCAAGAGCTACTCAAATTATTTTTTATCCATATTTAGTATCACGTATGTGACAAATTTATAATAAAAAACCGTCAGTAATTTAGATGTTGTCGACTTAAAGGACAACATAGGACATGTTCAATACTTTAGGACCAAAATAATGTAATTTAAAATATTAAGAACCAAAATGAGGCAAATTTTATACTTTGTGGACTTCCAATGTAATTAATCCTAAACTTTAATGCTCTGATTAGTAAGAGGGATGAAAAATTAAATGATGAAAAAATATAAAAAATAAAATTTTCATCCTTGGAGGTAAGAAAAACATTTTTCTTTTTTGTGTTTAGTACGGTTGAATGAAAAATTAAAAGAATTAATTTTCTATAAATTTTTAATTTATATTTCAAAAGACTAATCATATGTAAAGGTGACAGTGCTTTGTTTTATAATATTGAGTACTAAATTCTCACGTAAAATACTTGAAACTTACTAACATTCAAATAATTGTATAAAAATATAGGAACTATCAAAAATACCACAAAAAATTATCTGAAAAAAATGACAGACATTTGGTTTTTGGACTGTCTTGTCACTTTTTTCATATGGTTAATGGTGTACACATGTAAATATTGTTTTGAGGTCGGTGTATTTTAAGAAAATTTTGTTGATTTTTATTTTAAAAAATAATGAATAAAAATTAATTTTAAATTATGTTATTATAAAAATATATTTAATATAGTGACGTAAGATCTATTTTTTAAACAAATAGCTCATCCCCTTTAAAAAATCAAATTGAGAATTACCCGAACCAAAACGACCCCAAGTTGTCGATTGTCTGTGCTACTGATTGAGAGTAGAAACTAATTTCCTTGCTGTAGACAGCCGGAGCGCTCTCTCTCTCTATCTCTCTCACAGACGCACGCACACTCCTTCTGTCCCCATTTACTTGTATACCATTCATGAACTTTAGAATTAAGGGATTGTTCTCAATACTAAGGTCACTCATCCCACCATCACCCGCCACCCCTCTTCCCCTCCACCATCACCACATTCAGTCCCGAACCCTAGTGAAAGTCCGCCTGAAATGGGTAAAGAATCGCTCATTAGACCACATAATCGACACCCACACGGACATCAAAGCCGCGTACCTACTCAAAGACTCCATTGTTCGCTCCTCCACGGGCTATATCACCTCTCAGTTCCTCTTAAATACCCAAAAACTCCTAGGCCTCACTATCCCAACTCTCCGCTTCATTCGCCGGTACCCAACTCTTTTTGAAGAGTTTCCCCACCCGAAATACCCTTCTTTGCCTTGCTTCAAACTCACCAGCATTGGAACAACATTGCAAAATCAAGAACTAAGCATATTTCAAGAGCACCAGGATGATGTAGTCCAACGCCTCTGTCGGGTCCTCATGATGACCAAGAACAAAATGGTAATTCTATAAATCTAGAGCCTTGTATATGTAAATTGCAACTTTTTGAATCTGAAGTGATGGAAAAAATATAAATGCGAAGAAAATTTGGGTATTTTGTTTAAGGCTTCATTATGATTTTTGTAATGTTTATAGGTGCCACTTCAGTCATTACATCCTTTGAAATGGGATTTGGGTTTGCCTGATGATTTTGACAGGAATTTAGTGAAAAAGTGCCCGGATCATTTTCGGGTTGTTAAGGGGACTAATGGGTTAGCTTGTTTGAAACTCGTTCAATGGCATAATGAATTTGCGGTTTCTGAGCTGCAAAAAAGTAATGAGAAGGGGGAATCGGGTAGTGGTACTGAAAATAGTGGTAACAGTGTGAATGGGTATAGGCAATTTAAGAGGGGACAATCAGCATTGGCATTCCCGATGAGTTTTCCGAGGGGCTATGGGGCACAGAAGAAGGTGAAGGCATGGATGGAGGAGTTTCAGAAGCTGCCATACATCTCACCGTATGAAGATTCTAGGGGAATTGACCCGAATAGTGATCTTATGGAGAAGAGGGTTGTTGGAGTTTTACATGAGTTTTTGAGCTTGACTATTTACAAGAAAACTAAGAGGAATTACCTGAGGAGCTTGAGAGATGAATTGAATCTTCCCCAAAAGTTCACGCGAATTTTTACAAGATATCCTGGGATATTCTACTTGTCGCTGAAGTGTAAGACTACGACTGTGGCTTTGAGAGAAGGGTACAGGAGGGGGAAACTAGTGAACCCGCATCCGCTTGCTCGACTTAGGGAGAAGTTTTATTATGTAATGAGAACGGGGTTAATCTATCGGAATAAAGGTGTGGACATGATACCTCAGCTTGACAATGTGGTGAATGATGAGCAAAATGGGATAGAAGAAGAAGAGTCTGAGGAAGAAGAGATTGAAATGAGTGATGAATGCTTCGAGGAGGGAAGCTCAGAGTCAGAGATTGGATCTGATGAAGATTAGCATTCCGGTTAACAAATACAGCAATAGAGACATAATTGAAATAGGAAAAAATATGTCAGCTCTGAATGTAAGGAAATTTAGCGCATTGTGAGAATTTTTTGATAGATAACAGATAGCAAGTCTTGTCTTAGTGAAATACGAAAATAGATATTAAATATGAGTTAGCTCCAATTAAAGTTAAAGTTGTTGTCCAATGGAAATCTCTATGTTTAATATTTCTTTTTATCATCTTAGCAAGAGCATGGGATTGAAGGTTATTGACCATTATTTGTGTGAAGGTGAAAACACTAAAATTTAGTGTTGTACAGTTTGTTTTCATTTTCTTTGGAATGTCGATGCTTGTCATCTGGATCAATTATGACCAACTCATGCTGTAGGATACCATGGTTCATTCCTTTGTACGGAGATGATCATATGTACCTATACAGAGTAAATTAACGAACTACTAAAGAGCGGCTATATAAGACCTTCACCAGTTTCCTGATGAGAATTTAGAGAAGGTGCTTGTCTTGGAAGAGCTATCATATATTTATTAAACATTAAGAAAGTCTGTCTTCCCCGCGTCAGATGGTAAGTGTGCAAGCTTGAGAGAGAATAGGTTGCTTCTGCCTGTATACATCTTTTGGGCATTGTTGACATATGATGTTAGGTTTTGTCCTTTTTGGTGCACAATGGTCTCCTGTTCTCATCCTTTGACCCTTTAAGTGGACTTGGAACACTAGGTGGTCAGAGAGTTCGTCTGTTGGGCTGTTTCACTTTCTGAGAAAGTGAAAACAGGATCTCCCATTAGAGGGTTACAGAATTCTGTTTGAAATCCAATTTTTTTTTTTCACAATATGCATGGTAGAGATTAGGTAAGTTGATCTTTGAGTTTTTGTCACAAAGTTTGTATCATTGGATTAAATATTTGTTTACACCTCTTCTTTATGTACATGATATGTATACAAGGGCTTTTGCCTTTTGATGAAAAAAATGTGTTGTAGATTAAAAATAGTTCCCTTACGTTACTACATTCATCCTAGTTAGTTGGAGTGGAAGATGCAAACATTTGAAGTTTATCTAACAAACAATCAAGTTATGCTTTTAGTTAAAATAAAAGTGGCCTCTATTTGTGGCGTGTTGAAGACTAGGTACTGAAACTGTTTCCATGAGAAACAAATTTCAGTTGCAAGAAAGAAAATCCGTATGGAAATTTAGGATGACAGTTCTGAACTCTCCTCATTTTGTATACATTTTTTTGTGCGTGTGTGGGGGGTTTCCGTCCATGTTTATGTCTTTACCCCTTTTCTGCAACCTGCATATTCTCCTTATCTAGTGGTTTTCCTGCTATTAGCTTGGCATGGAACCATTACTAAGGATAGCTGGTGCTTCTTGTGTAATCATGTTGAGGTTCTCAGGCTTGAAAATTGCAAAGCATCAATAGAAAACCTTTGGATTGTCCTAGTTTTCAATGTCTGCATTCCATGATCTGAAATGGGTATAAGTTCTCTTATTTAATAATAGTAAACAAAGAGGCTGGTCCAATCGTTGTACACCCTGTGCCGGGGCGTGGGGAAGGGTTTGGGTGCCTTGCCCGCTTAGGCATATGCTACCTGCATCTGGTGCACGACGAGTGATTGAGGGCCTGATCCTATTTCTGAAGGAGTCTTGCAGAATGAATGAGTGACCTCTAGTAATCGCGTCTTGTTTTATTTAAACTGTTTTAAGAATGTTCCATACTAGGGGTTCCTGTTCCAAGCCCATATAAAGTGTCGAGATTCCAGATATCATAATCTATTTCTTAATGCTACCACTTTAAAACAGTGTGAAGGAAATCTGTTTCTCTTGTTAGTACGTCTTACTGTGGCACTGGCATTCTAATACAATCTGTCAGTGAAAAAATGGCCTGTGGTTTCCAACCGAGAATGTGTATTTTATGGTGACAATTAAATTCAATCCAATAAAGGAATAATGACAAAGAAGTGTTGAGATTTTCATAGTAGTTTGTGTGGTGATAAAGCCGAAATTTACAGGTTTACCCTAACTACAGATGATTTAGAAACCAAGAAGCCGGTATTGCAGATGTTTCTTTTGTGTAGTTAATAAAGCTGCTGCGTTCTTAGCTTGAACGACAGAAGATAGGTCAAATGAACATTTAGGCCCTGTTCTTAGAGAGGGCCAGTGGTAGTTCGTTGCTTGTTTTCTTAGCTAAGTAACAAGTGAGGTGGCATTGGTAGGCTGCAACGGGATTTTTTTGGAAAGACAATGAAGAGGAATTCAAGTCTCACTTGGCAAGCTGGAATAGTGTGGGCATTTCAGTGAAAGAAGGCGGCCTTGGAATATATGATTTACGGTTTTATCATGGTGTCTTGAGCCAAATGTCTATGGTGGTGGTACTCACAAGAGCTGGTTATTTGCGGTGCTGCAGCTGTTGTGCCTCTGAGTGTGTTGTTTTAGTCAATATTTGGTAATTGGATCAGGTCAATTGCTATAGCCAGATCAATTGCTATAACCAAAGGGCACATGATACTGCACTATACTAATGTGTTCTCTGCACCGAAGGGATGGACGTATGTTGAGATTGGCTTTTATGTGTCATGTACAAATGTCCAAAATGGTGTATCCATACCATGTTAGCAACTGTTATCAAATTTATATCAAGGGTCCGATTTTTAGAGATCAAATCAAAGGATGGCTGGTCAGCTTAAGTGGTTTGAAAGTTTTCTTTATCTAGATGCCAAAATTTTTTTGGCAATGATACATCTTGAGCCTGATTGCATACAAAAAAAAGGATATAAGCATTCGAGCAGATAGATGGTCAACGCGGCTAGCATGCTAACTATGTCGGTATCCAGTCTCATAAGACATGTAGTACTATTTATAGGATTGCACCCAAGTAATTAGTTTGTCTTCTCACTATGTTATTTGATGAGATTGACATTTCGTTAACTTCAAACCGTTTGTACTATAAATTAGGAAAAGTTCACTTTTAGTTATGCCAAGCCGTGCTGATTAGCTTGAATGGAGCTCACAGACACATGACACTTATCAACTAGTAGGTTGGGTGAAAAGTAAAGCCAGTGCATGCTATTCCAGTCACAGCCTTTGCTGCTAGAAAAGGTATTCAAGCTGCTAGAAAAGGTATTCAAGTCACACGTCATCTTCTTGTGGTTTGTGGAGCCATAGAACCTCTTTAAGCCACAGGGAAGCCACTTTCAGAAACTAGCTTTGGAAAGTTTCAGATTCTGATTCTTCTTCTCAATCTCGTGGTTCGTCTCATAAATAAGCCCTTTTCTTATATCACATATACCTTGTTCATGTTCTCCATGTCCTGACACTGTTTCATGTGGCACAGCCTCGTTTGAATTCAATATTGCTGTCTTGTGTAAATAAACTGTTAATTTTATTTTTAGCAAGTTTTATTTCTTGAGTGAAGCAAATTGTTATACATTAACAGCTTTTTCGTTTAAAAGAAATTGCTTCAAAAAAAAAGAGCTATTTCTTTCAATACAATTTTTGTACTTGGACTCTTCAATATAATCATATTGATATTCTTACACTAGCAAATTGGAACAGCATCAGGATTGGTCCTGGTTGGCGATTAGGCAGTTAATCTAGTTAGGTCATCTCTAGTCTTGATTCAATTTTTCACTCAAATTTGAGTCACATTTAAGTCAAAAAACTTCATTTGATATACAACACTCCAATGGAGATACTCAAATTTACAAATTTAAAGGAAAGTGTAATATGATCATTCAATCTTTAAAGGAGAGTAAAATTTGACTATTCAAGATTTGAGTCTCCCTTGATTTGAGTAAAAATTTGAATCTCCATTTGGTATGAGTTTGAGTGGTGGATTGGAGGTTGTTTTAGCGTGTTTTTACTCAATTAAATTTGAGTACAGGTTTGGGCAAGGATTGAAGATGCTCTTAGAAGGCTGTTGATTTGCATAATCTCTTTTGTGTCTTTGGAAGCTATAATAGTATGTTCCCCTTTAACTTAAGCTCCAAGGGGGGATAGACTGGGTACAAACATAATTTTAGGCATTATTTGCAGCAAGTTGCTATCCTTATTTTCAAACCCCCTACCTCACAGCTAGTCGCCTTAGCATTTGCCATTGTAGTATCATGTATAGTATACAATAAACACCAAGTTCGCGTGGAATAAAGGAGGATACATTTGCAACTTTCTTTCTTAGGCAATTTTATCTAATATTTTACCTATTTGACTTAAAACTGACGATTCTAATTACAATTACATTGTTGTGTTTCTGTTTCTATGTTTATCATGTTGGGTGTTGGAGAGAGTGAATTTCTGTCGTGATTTGCTATCAATAGCTCTAAACAAGCCTTGATTTTATTTGCAATAAATATAGCTAATTTGGTATAAGAAAGGTAGCTTGCACATGCATACTTATAAAAGTATGATGCCTGATGTTCCTTGCTTTTTATTATGTGATTAAGTAATCCCACCCACCCACCCAAAAAGAGGGAAAAAGAAAAAAAAAAAACCCCAAGAGGGAAAACAAACAGCGAAAATATTCTGTTTTATTTTTTAAAAGAATTTTCTGGCTATTCTGTGAGCTTGTAAACCTCTTGATTATGTGTATGTCAGGTTTTCTTTAAACTTTGGAGCTCAAGCATTGCAAAGAGTACTGTGAAGAGAATCCAATGAGCAATGAGGCAGCTTATAAGGAAGTGTCCAAACTTTTTACGGACAAGAAAGATGAGCATCTGTGATCTGACTGTCCAAACATCTCTCTTTGTTCTCTCTCTCCCCTAAGCTGCCCATAAAGTCTTAATTTCATATTCCCAGCAATAACTGTATTAGTAGCTTATCTCAGAGCCAATTACAGATGAACTTCCATTAGAACCTTCATACTGTAATTTCTTCAAAACGAGAGGGTTATTTTGGCACCAAGAGGTATTTCTTCTTCTTCATTTGTCTGCGCACTCGTGTATGGAAGGGGTTATTTTGGCACTAAGAGGTATTTCTTCTTCTTGTTCATTTGTCTGCTGCGCACTCGTGTGTACGGCAGGGGTGTTATAGAAAGAGCATAGTCAAGTAAGATCTATTCCACCATTTTTAGCAGGGAACTGGTATCATTGCGGCGGGTATTCCCTTAAATGCCTTAAATTTGTGAGGATTTTTGTGCATATGTTTGTAATGGCTTGTATATACAAATATGTGGGTGTGTTTATGAAGCCAGTTTATCTACTTCATTCATGCTTCTGCAGGCAACAGCAAGGCTTTTGAACTTGCTTTGTGTTCAAAACATCATCTATACTTCCTCAGTCAGCAGGCATCGTCTTTTAACTTCTCCCAACTCTTGAAGCAGATTGCACGAGGTGAGGGACTGAACCAATGCTAGAAGGTCATTTCTCTCCCCCCCACCACCAAAAAAACAAAAAAAAATTCCAAGTTCACTTCACTTGCCCATGAATGTGTTGATCTACTTCATGAATACCTTAATTTCAACCTAAGTTGTTTACCTTTGACCAAATTGGAAAAAAAAATTAGTTAAAATACATATAAACTGAACAGTTGTGACCGTTGAACTCAAACAAATATGTGGATCTAGCTCATTGCAAATTTCTCAAGAAAATGGCTAGTGTGATTGTTTGTGTCACAGCATCATGAGCAAATGAAACTCAGCGAAAAGTAACAGAAAACAGTAAATGATCCCCTATGACAACTGGGGATGAAAGGAACATGCTCATGGAAATTTAAAAAGGAAAATCCCCCAGTCTTTACACCATGTGCCTCGTAAAATTACAGCCCATTCCCCATCAAGTCCAACAATATACAGGGAACAATGGAACAAACATGACAACACTGGACCCTATTTGTTAGTAGTCTTCACCAACCTATCCACCATAATACCCCTCTCCTGCAATTCCTTTGTGAACCACAACAATTATAACTCAAAAGAACTCGATCACATTTTGGGAAGAACTGCAGAATATCATGATCCTTAAATTCTGTCAAAAATTATATATATATATATATTACGAGAAAACAAAATCAGTCTGTCGTAAGACACTAATCCCAAGCACTGGTCACCCCAGGAGCATGTCCCCCACCATAACTGCCATATCCACTGCCGCTGTTACCACCACCATAGTGATCAGCGCTACTCCCACCCCTATTAAAGGAGGAATCTCTTCTGAAGTCACGACCACCGAAACGTCCTCCCCCAGATCGCCTATTCTTACCACCACCATATGAAACCCGGCTTGCAAACCGGGTAAGCCAAGCAGGTACTTCCTGATTAGCTTCTTGCATCAGATCAGTTAGTGGCTTTGCCAATGACATATTGTTCTCATTGAAGAAGGCTGTCGCCAATCCTGACTTGCCAGCACGTCCTGTCCGTCCTATCCGATGTACATAATCATCAATGTCATTAGGGAGGTCAAAATTAACCACATGAGCAACATGAGGAATATCGAGACCACGGGCTGCTACATCTGTTGCAACTAAAATTGGCGTATTTCCACTCTTAAATGATCTCAATGCTTGTTCTCTTTCCTGCATGCAGATCCACAGTAATGTTGTAATTAGGACTTTATCATAAGGAGGGTTTATGGTGGCATGACGAAGCCCAAAAGTGCAAAATGAGGAACCAAAAACTAAATCATACCTTTTTCACGACAATCAGAAGTTAAACTTTATAGATCATTGCTTAACAGAACAATATAGTAGCAAAAAATGGTTATAGTTAATGCTGAACTATCACTGTTCTTGAAAAAAGGGAAGAAGTATTAAACCCTCTTCATATGTACTGATCTATACCAAAGCCAGTTCCACTTCATTTCCATTCATTTTGGTCGGGGATGATGTATTCTGGTAAAAAACTCACTAAAGTGATGATCTAAAAAGCTTCAATATATATATATATATATATATATATATATATATATATATATATATATATATATATATATACTAGTCATAACCCGTACATGAAAGCATGATGAAATATAAAATTTGAGCGCTCAAAAAATTGATCTTACTATATTAAAATTTTTCAATATGATTATACTATCGTATATGGATAATATTTAAAGTAAAAATTATGTTAAACTACAAATTAATTAAATATTAAATGATTAAACATGTGATAGAAATGAGTGATGCAATGTTTTTATGGAAGAAAATATATAAGGGATAAAAATTCAAGTTGTTATGTATTTTATTATATAGATTTTTATAGTAGGCATATATATATATAAATATAAGCCTACTATAAAATATAAGCTTCAAAGGTGATTATATTTTTTATGGTAAATATTTTTATAAGCCTACTACAATATAAGCTTCAAAAGTGATTATATATAAATTTCCAAGCAATTCAAGATATGAGTTACTCATTTCCTTTTATCGGATCTGAAGTCAAGTCATTGTCATTTCATTCACTCAAAACATTAAATCAAATGTCTTTAATCAACATATAGCACTTCCATCAGAGTTCATCATCATCACAATACTTCCAATACTATTGACATTATTACAAAATGTGGAAGCTCCTAGTATCATAAACTTTCACCAAATTCCACACACTCCAGCAATAATTAATATAGTCATAGAAAAACAACAGACTCTACTCACAGCACCACACTATGTCAAACAGCATGTTGAAGAATAAAATATCAATGTGCAATTTCAAATGCAACAATCACAAAATTCCTTTTCACTCACCTGCTGTGTTCTGTCACCATGAATGGTAGTTGCTGGAAACCCATTAAGATACAGCCAATGCTCCAATGAATCAGCTCCCTTCTTTGTTTCCACAAATACTAAAGTCAGAGCTTGCTGCAAAATCATCAAATCAAAAAATCAATCATTAGCTAGATATGAACAGCCTACCAAAACAAGTCAGGGTCGATATAGACTTTGAATTAGCAGTTTAATTATAAAATAAACAGTATAACGTAAACCCCCAGTCATATCAGTCAGCAAAGCAATCATCATAATCTAGAGAAAGTCAAATTCCCAATAAACTGGAATGCCACATACTACCTTGCCATAATCTCCGTTAGCCATCTGTGCATGAAGAAGGTCCATAAGGAAGCTTCTCTTGTCACTCTCATGAACAAATTCAACTCTTTGAACAATCAAATCGGTACTTGAACCAACCCGCCCGACAGCCAAAAATATGTAATTTGAAAGAAAATCACATGCCAGTCTCTGCATAGCAGTCAGAAATTGAAAATACCATCATATAAATGAGAGTTAAAAGTAAGATACCAATCGTCAGCAACACTCTTCTTGTTAACCTACTCCGTGTTGCTTCACCAGCAAACAAAATAATATGCATAACAATTTACAAGTAATAGAACATGCCTAACCATTATATATAAGCCATAAGTAAGAAATCTCAAGCCTTGCAGAAGTAGAATTTTTTAAAAACCATGGTTGATAAATCAATTATTCTCTTTTCATGATTGATAAACTGTATTGACAGTTTGAGTGGCTTTCAAAAATCTAAAACCACTTCCACCATCACCAACACAAACAGAAACAATAGTACCAAAAATTCGTGAATGCATAAGCATCTATGAAAAAAGGGTATAGAACCCCACGATATTTATCAAGGATATGCTCTGGCACTAGATGAGGACAAACTTCACAGTACAAAATTTACAATATCCGATTTGCAAACCTGGATCTCTTTTGGAAAGGTGGCACTAAACAGCATCGTCTGCCTTTCACCTGGTCGAGGCATGTCCATTTGTTCCACTATCTTTCTAATTTGAGGCTCAAATCCCATATCCAGCATTCTATCTGCCTCATCAAGAGCCAGGTATCTAACCATCTGCAGTGAAACTTTTGCCCTTTCAAGCAAGTCAACCAATCTTCCTGGTGTTGCCACAAGAATATCAACTCCTCTCTCAAGCTCCCGTAACTGGTCACATAATAAACCATGTCACAAGACAACATACTAACAAATAAGCACTTGATATCTAGAAAAAGAACATAAGATAGTCAGTTCGGCTGTGGACAAGACTACAATGCCCAAAGTAAAAGTTATAATGAGCAAATGCTGAGACCACAGAACCACTAAACCATTCTAGCAATCCAGGCTATTAAATTTAATCACAGGCAATGGAAACATAAATGAGTAACAGGATAACCAGTTTTAGTGATCATGACTTATATGATGACACACAAAATGTTTCAGATTCCGCGTATGTACAGGACTTCAGCATTCCGCGCATAATTCCACATATCCATGAATCAGTACTATACAATTAATGAGATATGTTATCAGTTTTACGCCAACTATGACTGTCACAATTAACAAACTCCGATTCTCAAAGATTCATCTTAACAAAGCCATTTTGACAGTCTAAGGTGAGTAAAGCCCACCCTTTTTCTTGAGTAGCAGTAAAACTAAAAGTAGGAAACCAAGGAATGAACCCTTTAAGTACTCGGGGCAAGTTAGCCAGTTTGACATTCGAGGGTGAGATTGGCTAGGAGCCTAGGAAGTATGGGCACCTTATTTAGGCACTTGTGGGACACGGACACATTATAATAAGTGTCGACTTCTTTTTTTCATTTTTTTCCTAAGCGCTTTTGGAACATGTGGGGACACACAACCGACATGCATTGGACACCCAGAGGACACAAAACCGACTCATATAAGACATTAAGAGGCCACATTTTTTAGGGGGAGACTTTTTCAAATTTTGAAAAACTTATTGTAGTACCCTATAAATTGTGGACACATGTCCACACTATGAGGGAACAGAGGCAAGAATTGATAGCTTACATGGCAGTGGAGCCCAACAGATCCTACATAATTGGTTGAGACAACAGTGCCACTGCAGCATTCCAACACCGTGCGACAGCAACCCAGTGTTGCGGTAGGTGCCCAACGCTATGACAGCGGCCAGTGCCGCAGAAGGGCGAGACATATCCTTATCACATTGAAAGTGGCAAAATAGACACTTGACCGAAGACGGACAAGGGTGGCACCACGGAAGTCTGAGGACAACTTTGGCATAACTCACCTCCCCCACAGTGAAAACAAGGCACAAAACTAGGATTACACAGCCGATTAATGCTCAAGGGAGAACTGAGTAGGAGATAGATGAGCATGATTGACAACTCGGCCAGGACAAGGTCTCGAAGGTTTAGTCAACTCGAGCAGGCCTCCCACTGTATGACTCAATGTCCACTAGGAGGTGCTTGATTGGGATCCGAAGGAACTCCTACGATAACTGGGGTAATTGGTCCGGATCAACATATAGAATAATGGGGCATGTTGATTGGTGGCTGAAGGACCGAAACTATGTGGATTTTCTCTATCAGGCACCTTGACAAAGGACTCAAAGAAGGGTTCAGAGAGGGAAAGGAGAAGTCCGGGTAGGAACGCACTGGGGGCAATGTGTATATGGCCCTCTCGAGGTCATAGTCTCGCGGTGACCAGTTGCGATCATTACTCTTGGGATCCCCCTTTCACCTCGATTGTCACACCGTCCCCAAGGGCCACATCCTGGCTGTATTTGGGAAATCATCACATCGGCTTAATTAATGTTGGGACACATGTCTTGCGATTAGCGATCACTAGTATCGTCGCAATCGATGCAATTGTGAGTTGTGTGAGTGTCGAAGGGACGCAGTGGGTAGCCGTTGGGGTAGCTCGACCTGCCCGAGCACTGTTCTATAAATACATGTATTATATGGCCACTACAAAAGGATTGGATTACTATCTAGTTGGTGAGAACATTTTACTCTATCTACCTACCTTCTGCCTAACTGGTTGGTTCCTTCGTTAAGAGGTTGTTTGATTTCCTTCCACTCCATCCACTTATCCTACTCATCCTCTTCGATTATCCTTAGTATAGACACATGTATTAGCTTTTGTTAACTCACCACTTACACTTATCAAGTAACTTTAGAAAAGTCAAAATAAGAGAATAGGGTTTAGGAAAAAGGGAGAATAGAAGAGGTAGAGAATATACATATCTCTGTCTCACCCATGTATTTATATGTATCCAAATATATATAAAAGATGCATATACCCCTTAAGGTATATTCTTATTACAAGAATGCCATTCCCTATATATTCTAACACTTTTCCCCAAGCTAACAAATATATATCATATAATCACAACTTGAAACAAATTTCTCTCAACCGAGTATCACACAAGGACTTAGTAAACATATCAGCGTGTTGATCCTCAAATTTGACAAAATGGTGTGAAAATATCTCCACGCAGCACCTTTTCTGGAACAAAGTGACAACAACCTCAATATATTTTATTAGTTCATGAAATACAGGATTAGAAGCTATATGAATAGCCACTTAATTATCACAGAACAATTTAAATAGAGTTTGTGATCCATTGCCTTGTACTCAACTTCTGCACTACATCATGCGACCAGATTCTGGTTTTTACTTTACCATGTAACCAGATTACCTCCCAAAAAAGTGCAATACCTTGTCGTCGATCGTCTATCATAGGAATAGACAGCTCAATCTGCATCAGTGGACCCTTCAAATCGAAGATGCCCATGTGACTGATACAACAACCCAAGTCCTAGAATTTTCTTGAGATACTAGATTTCAAAATGAAATTTAATTCCTTGGTTGTACTAGTGCACAAATGAAATATCAAATGATCTGTTTGGCATCTATGAAGGCCAAAATTTAATACTGCCTTTGAAAACTTTCCAAACCACGCACGCAGGAATTGTTTCAACCCATACAAGACTTTCTTCAACTTTCACACAGATGGAAGCTAATTAACGAAGCTCTGATCCCATGTGAAAATCGGAGAATAAGATTTAGGAGAATGGGAGAATAGAAGTGGTAGAGAATGTACACATACTCCTCTCTCACTCATATATTTATATGTATCCAAATATATATAAAAGATGCATATACCCCTTAAGGTATATTCTTATTACAAGAATGTAATCCCCCATATATTCTAACAATAAATAAGGATGTGCTTCATAGCTCATGACAGGATTCAATTCATACTAATAATGTGCTTCAGAGAAGAAGACCATTTCTTTGAATTTCTCCAAAGTGGTGTGTGATGTGTGCATGTGCTAGTGAGAGCATTGATCACCTTTCGTTGCATTGCCCTAATTTTATTTATTATTTTTTTTTTTTGTGGTCCAAGATATTTTAGTTAGCAGGTTTGAGTTGGGTGATTCTCAAGACTTTTTCTTCCATGCTACAAAGGAATTAGAGGGATTTGAAAAGTATGAGAAAAAGGTGATCCTTTGGTATTGTGTAATTTTTACCATAATATGGGTAATTTGGTTGAAAAGAAATTCTAGAATATTTAAGGATAGAGGAGAGGGGAAGGAAGGTTTATGGAATCGGATCTATTTTTTGGCATCGTTGTGGGCATCATTTCTAAGGATTTTGATGGTATTCCACTCTTTTGCATATTGGCAAAACCTCACGTGCCCCTTAGATATTATGATTTGTTTTTGTTGTCTTATTTTTTTCTTTCCCATGTCATGGTTGGACATCTTGTCCATCCTATTTAACTCTTTGATGTACTATTTTTGAAATTAATAAAAAAGTATTGTTCCTATAAAAAATAAATAAATAAATAAGGATGTCTTTTTTTGATAGTTTTAAGTAGTTAAAATGAAAAGAGCTATAATCACTACACGCACATGTGACAAATGACAAAGTTACGGATACATACCTATTTTCGGGTATGGATAAAAATATTAGGACCAAGAAATGTAATGCAAATAGAACATACTATTTATGCGTAAATCTCTTTGAAATTTGATGACAATTTGGATCACGAATTGAGAGCTTTTATACATGCCTATTGTAACAATTATTGAATTTTGGATCTAATTTATAATGGTAAGTTTGGTACTCTATTTTCAATTTTATGTATTGCGATGTTAATTGTTGAAATTTTGAAAATGTTGAATTGAATGATTAATTTTAATATAAATTTATTAGAGATTGAAGTGAAATATTGGAAATTATGCATCAACTTGATAAATGATCCCTAGTAATTTGTGGATTTTTAGCTCTTAATTTGATTGATTATTACTATTTTATTACACAATCATGTGTATAAAAATACATAAACAATATTTGGCAAGTACCCACCATGTAAGTGTCCTACTTTTTTGAAAAATTTCATGTACGCATGTCGGTGTTGTGAAGTATTGGTTTCCCACATCCTTATAAGTGTTTCTAAGGAGATTGAAGACATTGGTACTCATAAAATTAAAATAAGACACACAAAGTGGAAAAGGGTGTATTATATGATCGACACTTGCTTTGAAGCTAAAAGGTAAATTCTGCAAGACAATAAGAAATCAATACAGTGGTAAAATCAGATCTTTCTTTCTTAATCTTCCTCTCCCGGTGGTCAAGTCAGTTTTCACTTCCTCCAGCCCCTAGACTCATTACGTTTAACAACTTCATTCGTTGGTCCTAACATGTCTTCAAACCAATCATACCTAAGTCATCTCTCCAACTTCTATCAGCAGAGAATGGCAACCATGACCATGATCAGCTATCTATTAATGTGTTCCCACCTCCATGCCTAACTACTACGACCCCTCCTAATACAGTCCTTCTAGATCTATTTTTCTCATTCCCCCCTAACCTGGCTGGCCAAATATTGTGCAAGTAAGAAACAACATGTTCAACAACTAAGTGTACTGGAAACAAAGATACTAGAATGGGTATGTGGTAAAACTAAAAAAAAATAAAATTACGAATGAATATATTCGTGAAAAAAGTATGAGTAGGACCAATGGGAATGCTAACTATTTAAAGTCATTTATAAATAGGATTGTTCATTAAAAAGTATGATTGTGAAGCTTCCTTTACTCCTGCTTTTATGCATGATTGGTAGATTACAGCACACTAACCATTTCGGGCAAAGTACATTTTAAAGGGAAAAAAACCTTTGATTTGCTCATTTCACCCTCATGCAATAAAAACACATGAAATAAGTTCACAAGCACCACCTGCTACCCTATTTTAACTTTAATCATGCAGTCCATAGTTTGATGCAAATATCCAAAAAACCAACAAGGAGGTGGATTTATTGACATATTTTGTTTAAGCGTCTTTTTCTCATCTTTCATATTATTCTTTCCCATCCAGGCTCACTCCAAATGTAACATGTTATAACCCATTTTCAAATAAATGATGGACAAATTGATGGCCTAAATGACAATCAAGGTCATTGTAAGTCATCGAAGAAGAAAGCCTACAAGGCAATTATTAGTTCTTAAACAGCAACTACAGCCACTTATTTTCAGGATGGACACAAGGTTAAGGGAGGAGAAGTGCCCAAAAGTTATAACTTACAGCTGCTCACATCAATTTCTATCATAAAGAACTGAAAAATCCAAGAGTCAAATCAGAAGAATTGTAAGTGACATCATATCTACTTTGACTAAAAAAGTCTTCTTTCATTAAGTTATGCAATACACAAGTACATTTACACACACGGTAGACTCTAAACCAAAGGAGCGAAGAGCATGTACTCAATATTTCCACACACAAAAAAAGGTAACATGAGTAACCTGTTGATTAATCGGTGCTCCTCCATATGCAACTACCACTTTTACACCAGTTTGATAGGAAAATTTTTTGCCTTCTTCATGTATCTGCAAGCCAATATGCAACATACAGATTAAAATTGTCAATAAAAAAGATGCACAAAGATGCATATTATATTAAAAAGTACACTATTCAGGTATTTTAATTAACAAAACCCACCTGCATTGAGAGCTCCCTTGTAGGAGAGAGAATCAAAGCAAGGGGGAACACAGTCCGCATTCCACGTGGTCTCTGCGGAAAATTCCCCCTCATAATTCCACTGATGATTGGAAAACAAAAAGCTGCTGTCTTCCCAGACCCAGTCTGAGCACAGGCCATTAAATCTCGTCCTCCTAGAGATATGGGTATTGCATGACGCTGAACAGGAGTCGGCTTGACATATTTGCACCTCCGAATATTTAGATTCAGTGCATCCCCCAGGTCTATTTCCGCAAATGTATTTACCGGAGGTGGCACATTATTTCCACTTGTCTCCACTGGGATATCCTCATATGCATCAAAGTTGATACCTGTATTTTCCTGCTCACTAATTGCAAGCTCTGCTTCACTATCAATGTCATCAGTGCCAAAAGGATTTACCTCTCTCTCTCTGCCCCAGCCACCACCTCTGGTGCCCCAACCAGCACCACCCCGACCACCGCCACCATATCCTTGGCGTCCAGAGTCAGGCCTAGAACCACCCCAGCGGGATCCAGTTGTAGATCCGCCAGAGTCAGGCCTATCACTACCCGATGATGGGCCACTATAAGAAGGAGCTGGTGGCTCTGCTGCTGTAGGTGGCCTGTTACGAAGATGGGGCGGAACATAAGCAGATTTGGTGGGAGCCGAAGACCTAGCAGCAGCTGCATTGTTATCAAAAGAACCTGGAGCTGCTGTATTCTCAACAGAATCCGCCCAAGATGTTCTCATATTTGAAAAGTTCGATCTTTTCTTAATCCACGACCACAACCCAAAACCCTAATCCCCAACAATTTTAAAAATTCACTCTTACAATCCAAATTCCTCTAAAACCACGTTCTTTAGAAGATTATCGTCTATAAATCACAGAATGCCAACCTGATCAATCAAAGAAGTACATGCAAAGATCAACCACAATAATTATATATACAACAAAAGCTCAAACGTAATGCAATTGACTACAATTCTAAAATCTCACCGACAACAGAATTACAGCTAAATAACAGCAAAACAAAACCCACTACTCCATAATAATCAAAAACGACGCAATTAACCCAAAAATAAGACCAAAAAATTACTTAGAACAACAAGTTTCATAAAGGTCTAAATCGAAACAAATGCACAGGTTCACGGATTGCACCTAAAAAAAGAAGACAGAGAACAGAGAAATTCAGATATATGTATGGAGATAGGACGAACCTCGAACATATAACCGTTACAATACGCCAAAAAAATAAATCAAGCATTCAATATATTCGAATAAAAGCGATGAAAAAGCAGATGGGAATCGAAGGAGATACTGAAGCCTCGATGAAGAGATCGGAAGATGATGAAGAGACCTGAGATGGTGAATGCTGTTTTGGGAGGAGAAAACCCTAGGTTTTTTTAAGAGGATATCGGACATGGAAGAGAAAATATCGGAATTAGATGCTCAGATTAGATACGGAGGAGAGAGATTATTGTGTCTTACCTGACTCAAACTATGGGATCCAATAAAAATCTTCTCTCTCTCTTTTCTTTTTCTCTCCCTCTCTTCATGAAGAAGTTGTGTTGGAATTTGGCACCCTACCCAGAGTCTGGCCCGGAAGCCCAGCAGTTACGGGCTGGGTGCCGGGTCATCCAGGTCCATCACTGGTCGTCAGCGCTATGGGTCAGATTGTAACCCATGAAATTTCAAGGGGCATAAAAAGGTTGTGCATGATTAAACCAATTAATAAAATCAGATGTCCTAAAAGCTCGGGACAAAATGCACATGTGAAAGACGTGCAGAATTACAATGTCTAATTATAATCGAGTGTGTAGATGGACGAAATGTTCGACTGAATAAGCCGAGTTGTTAATATGATCGAATTGAAAGCAAAATTGAATAGAGCTCTCAAATAATTTTTTTGTACAGAATCTCATTCAAGCTCCGTCGTTAGGCTAATTCTTGATTAAGGTGCCGAAGGCGAGTGCTTTCAATGTCTTATTGCCCTAGTCTGCTTCTTGAGATATCAGAGGTAGAGGCAAACTAATCAAATTGTTGTCTAAATCATAAATGAACATTATCAGCGTACCGTAACAAATAGGCAAATAAGAAAGAAAGCTAGGAGAGATCTCAGCATCAATCAAGAGTAGTTTGACTAAAAATTAGGCGTGCCACCTAATATAGCCAATGGTGAAAATCCTAGCAAAAAAGTTGTCATGCAACGTTATAAATGTCAAATGATGCTTGAGTCAAAGTTACGCACTTCATTTCTAGCAATTCTCTTTGTTTTACTTTCAAGAACTTTACTGACTTAAATATTAAAGTACCTCCAATTAACCCACCTCAAGTCTCTGACAATTTACTCATTTTGTATGAAGGACAGTGTAATATCCATTTGTCTTTTTTTTAATCAAATTCAAATCAAAAGGTAAGAGCTTGCAAAAATAAACTCTAATTTAATTGTGAAACTTTCATTTGTATAAATTCTAACTTGTGTTGCTTTGTGTAGTGGTGGTTTCAAGTTGGGTTGGGCTCGAGTGGTCATTGGATAATATTGAAGGGTGGCGTTATTATTGGGCAGGTGTGGGTGGTTTTGGGCGGGCGGGGCGGGCGGAGAGATGAGAAAGATGATAGTGCATGAAACTCACAAGTTGAGTTATAATTAATGGCTAAATTCACCATTGTCTGTTTGATATGTGAGTTTGGATTGGATAAAATTGTTGAACTTTGAAAAGAGTTTTTTGGAGGCTAGTCTTTTTTTGTAAATTTGTTTAGACTTAAGTTTACTCAAAAACTTGTTAATGAATAAGTCCATTTTAATCTTCATTATCTAAAATACTTTCAATAGTTATATTTAGTTAAAACTAGTTTGAAAAAACTAACAACTCCTAAATTGGGAATTATATTATTATTAACAATTCCTAACTTGGGAATTGTGCTAGTATTAAAATTATTTTTTTATCTCATATATATATATATATATATATATATATATATATAACATTAAACAGTAACATACTTAATAAAAAATAGTAACATACTCAACAAAAAAATAGTAATATGCTCAATAAAAAATTTAATTAAAAATTTACTCATTACAATAGAGTGACACTATATAGTGAGTACTTATTTTGGTGTGGACAAGACAATAGTTTTAAGTACTCACATATGGTGTCACTCTATTGCAATGATTAAATTTTTTATTTAGCATGTGAGTGTTTGATACTATTTTTTTGTTAAGCATGTGATAGAAAATAATTTTAATGTTATTACAATTCTCAAGTTAGGAGTTGTTATATTTGAAAATTTTGAAACTAACAATGATAAACAGTATTTATGATAGGATAATTAGGTAATACCAAAAAAAAAAATTGAAATGTATACTTAATGATAATAGTTTGATGAAAAAAAGGATTCAATGGAGTATAGATGTTGTGGTACTTAAGGTTAAATAAGTTCTAAAAAAAATACCTACAACCAAATATCTGTTTTGAAAAACAACCCAATGGCTAAATCTTTGTTTGGTTGACATGTTTGAGGTCCAAAACTTTGAGTCTATATCCAGCTTCAAAATTTATTGAACACATGCTGAGAGATTTAACTAAATAACCAATGATCAAGTTTACTTAATCGAATAAAGAAATTAAAACTTAATGTTACAAATTATTAAATATTTTAAAATGTATGATTTTTTTGTGGGGACAAATTTAAAATATATTAAAATTTATATTAAAAAATATGTTTGGACAAAAAAATTGAGCGGAGGCAGTTGGATGTGTAGCTCCACCCTTGTCCAAGGGGAGGTTGGTTTGAAAAGTGGGAAGAGGCGGATTTGTATGCAAAACGACTACTTTAACCCAATGTGGGTATGGATTAAATTGTACAATAAATAATTTAGTCAATTTCATGTACAATATTTGGTGATAAGTGTGATCAGTTTTGTGGACCCCAAATGTAGTTATATCATTTGTCAAATATGAGATTGAATACAGTACATTATTTCAAGGAGAAATTGGAACCAGGATAACATTACAATCTATTTTGCCAATAAGAACAGGTGCAAACTTATTGGATTATTAAGGACATATAATGTGTAATATTCGATAAGTAGGTCCAATAGTCATTTTTTATTATTATTATTTTCTATTTTACCCTTATGCAATCTATTGCCCAAAGCTTCTGATCACAACCATTCACTGCCTATTCTTCCATTGGCACCACCGAGAGAGAGAGAGGATGATAGAGAGAAAAGGAGAGAGAGAGGGGGGTTTGAGTCTTCTTGATCGAATTATAGTTTGAAACAAATTGCTTTGAGTGGGGCTTGTTCAAATGTTCTTCGCATTGTTACTAATGGAAGTTGAGAAGTTTCTCATAGGTAGCTTACTTTTTCTTGACGGTTTAAATATCTATTGATTTGAAGATGCAATTCTAGCAACTATGTTCTTGAAGATGCAATTCCCAACACTCCTTGAACATAAAATTGGATTTCGGGATTTCTTTTGGAAGGCAGATAGAATAGATAGCTATTGATTTGTTAGGCTCCAACATTATTGGATGTGAAAGGACTCTAATTTTTGTGCATTGTAGGTGTGCAATCTTGTTATAGTTAAGTGTTATTTTTGACAACTTCATGTACGATTTCTCTGTGAATTTGATATTAAATCATCAGAGGCGTTCATGTAGATTGTCTTGCACCGTAATAAATAATGAATGCTCATGACATTTTTCAATTTATATGTTATGCCCAAATGGTGTTTGATGAAATGCATGAGCTAAGGGTTTAATTATTTTTTATGTAATTTTTTTTTAGATCTCTATTTTTACTTGATTGTTTTGATATATTGATCTTGAATTTGTTCTGATATGGATGAAAAAATTATGTGTTATTTTGTTTAAACTTATGAACTATTTTATTAGTGGTTGTGGTTATTACTGGAGTTGTTACTGTGATCATGTAGCTATCTAGTTCACATTACTGTCTAGTTCTGTAAAATTTTAATAGTAACTATGGCTAGTTTACGTTATTATTTAGTTTTGTAGAATTTTAACGGTGACTGTGATTGTTTTCATTATCATGTTATTGTTACTGTGATTATGTTACTGTCTAGTCCACCACCATTATGTACTCCAACCTTACTATCTTTCATAACAACTCCATTACACGTCATTGCCCCTTATACCTCCATCAACAAACACAAAGTTTGATGTTTACTCATGGACTCAAAAATGTGTTTGTGTGTGCGTGAGCGGGAGAGAGCACACACACAAAATCGAAGTCAAAATAACAAGAGAGAATTACACTTAAACTCTATAAAATTTGTCACTTAATCACTTAGAGCCTTAACATTTGAAATATTACACACAAACCTTTAAGATTTGTACGTGCCTAATACTTAGACCTTAGTCATCAATATCTGTTAGAATATCTAGTGGCAGATCCACAATGGGGGCAGCTACCCTCATTGGAATTTTAAAATTTTTTGGGACTAAGTATAATTTTAAAAAATTTAGAATTTATTAGATATTTGTCTCCACTGAATTTTTTTCAAAAGATTTAAGGGTAGTTTTGTTATTTTGACAAATATATGAGTCTCATTTGTAAATATCAATGGAAGATGATATCAAAATTTTGGGTATTTAAAGATTAACTAATATGTTACGAAATAGGTTAGCCATCTCATTTGTTTTATGTTTATATATCGAACTAAATATAGAGCTTGTAATCATCTTCTTTGTTTTATATTTATATGTTAGAATTGAAAATTAGGGTTTGTCGTCCTCTTTTGTGTTTTATTTTTTAAATGTTGAATTGAAATTAGATCCTGTAGCTCTCTGTTGTATTTTATTTGTTATATGTTGAATTGAAAATATAAAATTGAGGCTTGTAATCATCTCTTTTGTTTTATTTTTTATGTATTGAATTGAAACTAGGATTTGTAATCTTGTATTTATTTTTCTATGTTGAAATAAAATTGGGGCTTGTAATCGTCTTCTATGATTTATTTTTTTATATATTTAATTGATATTTGAGTTTGTAGTCCTTTCTAGTATTTTATTTTTATAAGTTGAAGTAGAATTAGGACTTGTAGTTGTCTCATTTGTTTTATTTTTATTTGCAGAATTGGAATTAGAACTTGTAGTCCTCCATTATAATTAGACAAAATTATATTGATTTGATAGTTTGAATAGTTTTATTGTGATAAGTTAAGTACTGCATATACCTAAGTTTAGTTTACTAGAATAATTATAGTTTAAATTAATTTCGACTGTTTGTTAAAATTTAATGATGAATATTAAGTTTGTGATTGAACAAATTAATTTTTGAATTAATTATGAAATTTTTTCTTAAAATTTAATATATGATTGAGCCCAATTTTGCAGTTCAAATTTTTTTTTGTTAGG